TAAGAGACAGTTGTAGGGGCAGCCCGAGGGCCAGGGGCTGGTGGTTAAATCTGCCTCAGGCTTGGACTTAGAGAGGTGTCGGGAAGGAGGCCGGGCATTGCCGTTGTCCCTCAGCCCACCCGTGCGCTAAGATCACCTTTAAAACCCGCGAAATTCTGGAGGAGCAAGAAGTCAGCGGGCTTCGCAGGGAGTCAGCCCTGCTCCTGCTGCTTCTCCGGGCTTCTGTACCCCTGGTGGCCCTAAACCCCGTGGAAAGACCTGGGGATGCTCAGGTGTGGCTTTGCCAAGGGCTTGGCACCCCTTGGCATGGCTGGTGGCAATGTGACAGCCCGTGTGCTGAGGCTGGGGCCACGTCCCACTGTTCTCTTTTGCTTTTCTGTCTGAAATTCTGGAATTAATTAGTCCTGGGATCTTTTCTGCATTTGTTGGTTGCATTAATGTATTTTAGGCAATGTCCATTGTTGCTTTTGCTGTGACCAAGGTCGTTGTGTTGTTGCTCTCTGGCATCTCAGGGAAAAACTGGGGGTTTCCATCAGAAATGGGCAGATCTAGAAGACTTTAGGCCCTTTATGAGCAGGGACTAAGCATACTGGTAGGATAGTTCTGTTAAAATTAGCAGCAGTGAAACAGTTGACTGTGATGACGTTTAATATGTCAACTTTCAAACAGTAGATTTCAAACAGTCTATTGAAATAAATGAAGTAGGATGCACAATCAGTCATGGATTTGGGAATACGGGCTCTGCCCTGAGTTCCCAGACTCGCTCCCTGGTTACTACCTTAGGCCACATCAACATATAGTTGATCAGCTGGTTTTCAACTGCCGAGATGTTTTGTGCAGCCTGAAAATTTTATCAGAGTCTTCTCTGCCATATCTGCAGCAACCAAAGGGCAGATGATGTGCTTGGGTATTATTTAACCTGAGGTATGGCTGCATAAAACTAAGTTAACATAAAAGGTTGGGGAATGTGTAAGAAGAGGAACTCACAAACTAGAGAAGATAAGGATGAGAAGTGTTTCTCTTCCATGAGAAGTTTTCCCAGATGACTGTGGCTGTCTTTAAAAAAAATCTCAGTGAAAACTAAATGTTTGAATGTTTGAATTAAAAGATAATTCTTCTCTGAAATGTCCAATGAATGGAGAGACCTTTAAGAAGGACAGCCATGCAGAGACACTGGAGTCTCGATATTGAAGTAGCAATACTCTCAAAAAACTGTGACATCTCTTGAAGAAAAAGAAGAATAAAAAATTAACTTAAACCAGTTATTTGTCCAATATTACTGGCTTGATAATTTAAAATACTGAAGAACTCCATTCAAGTACTTATTTTCTTCATTTTTTTTTCTGGGTTCTTTAAAATACTGAGCTCGATTTCAGTTTTTACAGTATTGAGTTATTGTTAAACTTCACTTGTAAGGTTTTGATACTTGTGATATATCTAGAATGTTATCACTCTAGCTAAATTTATATTATTTAAAATAATTTCTGAGCATATGTGTGTATGTACATTCCCGACATGTTCAATCTGTTATTTTGCCTTTCAGGGCCCCTGTGTTTATATACTTTATTTCCTTTTTCCTGGGAATACGTCTTGTGGTCTTGGGGAAGAATGGAAATTCTTTTTCAAACCTAAAGCTAAATTGTGATGCAAATCTCATCTCACCTGATAACATTTCTTTAACAACCTGAGTTAAGTAAGGAAGTAGGAGAGGTGGTGAAGGGAACACTGTTTTGGACAGTATCCTTGGACAAACTGCAGTCTTTCTAAAAAAAAGAAAGGCAAAATGTAGGGACAAGTTTTATTTCAAACTTTTTTAAGGACTGATTGTGTCTGTTAGGTGATTTTCACCAAAGTTTCCTCTGTGTGTCAGGAACAACTCTTTTAGGTGTCCTTTGATGTCTTCATGGTCTTCCAGGAAAAATAACACCAAAAAATACCTGAGTCATACCTGTTTCAATAGAAGTGAAAAATAAGCTTGGATGTCTTGTTCTTCAGTCCATTTGGGTCTAATAGTGATTAAACTTTATCTGGTGAAAGGTGATGTTTTTCAGTTGTACTGCAGGTGGTTTTAGTCTTTCCCATCCCTTGTGTCCTGTTCCCTTACAGTCTCAGGGTGTCACATCTGCCATTTTTCTGCCCTTCCTTTGATGCATCTTGCTGCTTCCATTCCCCTTCTGGAAACTTGCAATCCTTTGCAAAAACACATATTTAAGGTTCTTCTGAGATCCTGCTTCCTCACAGACTCCATGTCTCCGAGGTTATCCATCTGGTTGAAGAGGCAGAGATGGAGGTCTCTCTGTGGCCTCCAAATCTCAGTCTTTGGGGCAGCAAGGGACGGTGCTCGGTGCCCTCAGCACCTGTAAACACTGTGCTGCCAGCAGCATGCTGCCAACAAAAACCCTCACGAGCACCCTTATGCCTGTTTGAGGGGAAGTTTTGGGGTGTGCTTTGCAGTTTTGGAATGAAAGGGAGAATTCAGTCCCAGGAAAAAAAAAACATTACTCTTTGCAAATGCAGCAACTGTGGTGCTTTTTCCATGGGAGGAGCGAGCTGTGCACCAAGGAAACTTCACCTTGTTGCCTCAAGGAGCTGACAACTCATCCATGAGCAGACATTGCCTACTGCTGCACTTAGCAGGGCTGTGGGGCTGGGAGTAGATTAATCACTTGCCTCTGCTGCTTCCCTATTGCCTCCTCCATGCTGTATCAAATTGCCAGATGCTGAGATTTACTAGATGAATTATCCTGTATTAAAAAGAGAGAAAACCAAAAGCACCAGGGACCTCCACGTTGCGCATCCTCTCTACTTGTTATAAATACCCTCTGTGTTCCTCTTTCCGATTGACTGGGTCCCTTGCAGAGAAGCCAGCCTCGGGGGCCTGCAGAGTTTTCACATCTCTAACAAAGCACTGAAGGACGAGAAAGGACAACGGGCGCCGGATGCCGACTGTTCTGCGCCAGCGCCCTCCTTACTGCAATTATATTTCTGTTAGAAACCTCCACCTTATTTAAAGAGACATTGTCAACTGCCTCAAAGCTCATTTTTGTAAAAGTCTTACAAAGCCATTTAGTTGTTTTCTTAATGACATGAAGAAAAATATTGTAGATAAAGAACACTGATAAAGCAGAGATGCTTCTCCTTTTTTAGGATCTTGTATCTGATGAATTAAAACCACTATGTAAACTTCAATCAGCTGATCACTATAGTCCCTTCTGACAAAATTATCATCTGTTTCCAGATGAGGGGAGTGAGACAAGAGGAGGTGAGTGGTCTGACCAAGGTTGTTCAGTGAGTTTGTTGCAGAACGCAGCTGTGGGTTCCTAAATGATAAAGGAGGCTCTGGAATTATCTGGTTTTATGGCATAAACCAATATTTGATTGTCAGTAATAGGAGGAAATATTCCTCAGAGGCATCTCTCTGTGCTACAGTGTAGTCCCTTCTCTAGGAAGTGCTCAGGCACATCCAGTGTCAGATCTAAGATTGGAGGCAGGATGGATTCCTGATCTGGGCCAGTCTGACAGGCTATGCCTTTCTGTGTACCATCATGAAACACTTCTCCAACACTGGAAAAAGGGCTTTGCTGAGAAACTCCAGGCTCGACACGCCTCACTTCAAAGACTGTCAGGAATCTTGAAGTACTTCTCTGATTTGAAATCCCTGTTGGCTGTCACTACTGTCATTATCTAGTTTCAGTGCAGAGTGGTTGGACTTAGTATTTTAAAACTTGACTGGGCCTCCTCACCAGTGACTTTGATCAGCTCAAATTTTTCTTGCATTCTCAAGTTTTATTTCTGTGTTTATTGCAGGTGTACCATTCTTCCAGGATTGCTGCCATGGTACTTAAGGTCTTCTTTCCATCATGCTGCTCTTCAGCAGAAAGTGGCATTTTGATCGGCCGCTGGATCTCCGAACAGAACTCTGCTGTTATACTTGCTGTGGTCCATTTCCCTTTTATTCCTGCCCAGGTGAAGCAGTATCTCAGTGAAGTCCAACGGGTGACTAAAGTCAGTGTCTCTGTGCTCGGCTCATGGAGCAACAGCAAACAGGAGAAAGAAGAGAGTCTGAGTGAGTTCTTGGAAGACCTTGGGACAATATTCTCTCATGACCCTTGGATTCAGATAAGCAAAGAGGGAGACAGCAACTTCTGGAGCTGTTCTACCCTTCAGAAACACTCTAACAACCCTAAGGAGGAAGAAATAATCTTGGTATACTATGACCAGCGCAAAGTCATGCTTTCCCATTTACATCCCCCTTTGGACACAGCTGCCTTCACTGACCACAAGGCAGACGATGCTTCAAAGCTCGCTGCCATCTTTGACACAGTGGCGAAGAGTAAGATACTGTTCATGACGGACAGATATGATGATGGGCCCATCAAGCTGACCCACTGGCAGTCTGATGGAGTTGAAGCTAGTATCATCGTGGAGCTGATGAAACAGGCCTCTGTGCCTGCGTGCATGCTGCTGACATTCCTGCTTTCACTTATCTCTGGGATCTGCAGGAGCAGGTAAGTGGTGAGACATCAGCCTGCTTATGTTTTGGGTGGAAATGTAATTTATGTTTAGGCATTTGCAGGGTTCCTGCTCAACCCCAGTGAGAAATACAGTTAATACAAAATCATTCTGTTGGAAACAGGCTGCTGCAGAGCTGCTGTTAAAATTTGGGGAGCTTCTTTGAAAACACAAGGCTAAAGGCTCCCTCGAATATAGTAGAACTCTTCAAGGAGCTAGGAGCTTTTTGGGGGAGGCACTGATCTTCCCTTTTGCAGCAGGGGTAGCTCAGCCCCACTTCAGTTTCATCACAGCTAAAAGAGTGGGTTTCCAGCTATTCCGTGGCTGACAGAATGACATGAGGATCTCCTTAACGGCTTGATAGCTGGGACTCCCTACTCCATTTGCTATGAATCCCTCCACGGTGTGAAACATCAGCAAACAGTGTGTCTAAATCCATCATCTAACAGACGGTGGTGCTGCAACGGTTGGCACTTCATGGCAGGTTACAAGGAATGCTAGTCTGCATGAATCCTTGGTGCAATCCCGTTGTCACAACCGTGAAACTAAATAGGATACTTGAATGTAATGTGTGGCAAGTTCTTGCACTAAAGAGGAATTCTGAGCAGATTTGAAGGGGAGAACCTGCCTAGAGAGGTTGTTCCAGAGAGGGGAGTGGAGTTCAGGTTCCAAGCTGAAAGGGGACGCTTCAATTGATGAAATTTGGATAACGGCTACTACTGTATTCATGGATAAATCTTCTCAAGTACAGCCTCAAGGTGTGGGGAATTGAGTCTTTTAACAGGTTTCCAGTTATATGATAACTGTCATAAAAGAATTACAGTGAAACTCTCCATATGGAAAGCTGTTCAGAACAGTTGGGTTATACATTTTGGTACACAAAAGGAAAACTGTCTGGGTTTGGACTACTCAATTGGAAGAGATTTAGGGTCAAACCCAAACCTGATATAATGGGGGACCACTGGTTCCTGGGACTGCTTTGTAGACACTGACTAAGCATTAATGTTTCTTAAGGGTAACTAAGTCAGAACTTTGTGTTTGGGTAGAAGATTGGGAGTCAGCTCTGAAGATCTTTTTTCTGGCTGTCCTTGGACTGTGTGTGACTACCATCAAACAGGATGATCTTTTCCTGCATAGGCACTTGGTCTCAAGGTCAGACTTGCCCACCTTGATCGGTGCTGGGTCCCAGATCAGGCTTAAAGTCAAGTTAAGCCCAAGGCTCACAGGTCTCCAGAAGGCCACAGTCTAAGCATAACTCGGGAGCTCAAGCTCTGTCTGGCAGGTTCGGCACAGATAGATGCTACCCAGCTTATCAGGAGCTATTCTGATTTCAGCTTTTCCTAAACCCAGTACAGACATTTTGAGCCAGAGCAGTGGCCAGACTAGCAGCCAGCTGTACATACCAGTAGGCAGAGTGCAGGCTTGCTGTGCATAAACCTAGGTTGAACTTGTTATTAACCTTGGAAGGTAGACACAGGTTTCTTTCTGTTTTTTTTCATTCACCCACAGTATCAACATTATATTTACCTATCTTACAGGTGGTTTAAAACATCAGTCATGGACTACACAGATGATACCTGGCTTTATAACAAACCTCCTGCTTGACCTTCTAAGTCATTTAATGTCATTTGATTCAATTTAGCACGTGACATGTGGTACAGCTTCCTTTGGCCAACATACAGAAGACAGGGAGGGTTCAAGATGTCACATGCAGGTGTCCTTCCAGTCCCTTCCTCCCTGTGCTGTGACAGGACATCCCATAAAATAATATCTACTAGGTTTTTGCTCCTTCTGGTCACAGGACTTCTTTCTTGCCCTGTTTTTTATGACATTAAGAATTAGTCAGCTTTGAAAAGCTAAAGAAAGAGATCAGTGATGTCCTGTCAGGCTGCGGAGGCTTGGGGCTTTTTTGGATATGCCAGTTTTACATAGTTGTACTGGGGAAGCAAGGCATCAGCGTTAGAGGTCTCAGAAAGTGGGCAGTGACATACATGCAAGCTTACTGAGCACTCCCAAGGCCTGTATCTCAAATTAAGACATTTCTTCAGCACCACCTTGTGCTAAGGGGTGGCCATTGCAATTCTGTCTTCAGAGTGACCTCTGTGCAGGATTTCCATTACTGCTGAAACTCTCTAGTGTGCTGTTGTGACTGGTTGTGCATCCTACTTCATTTATTTCAATAGAATGTTTGAAATCCACTGTTTGAAAGTTGACATTTTAAATGTCATCACAGTCAACTGTTTCCCTGCTGCTAATTTTAATAGAACTATCCTACCAGTATGCTTAGTCCCTGCTCATAAAGGGCTAAAGTCTTCTAGATTTGCCCATTTCTGCTGGAAACCCAGCAGAATGATTTAGTATTGAGGCAATAAACCCTGTATGCTCCTTTTAAAAAAAAGTCCGTTTATAAACACCCTGACCTCTGCTTCCTCATCCAGAAGGGAGACAGTATTCCTGCAGTTTCTAGCAAGGAGCAGAAAAACAGCCAGGGTTCTGGTTAATGGAACTATAATATTTGCATGTGATGCAGATTTGGAAAGATTGCTTTTCATCTGATGTCTGAAAAATCCACTCTCACTCTTGGAAAAAAAATTGAATTGGAAAATCAAGATTTACTCATGCTGACTATGTTATGTTATTGCTAAAATTCCTTATATTTAGAAGTACCCCAAAGATCTCCTGCTGCTTAAATAATGCAATGACACAACATCACTGTTTTTTTGTTTTGTTTTATTTGATTGGTTTTCCACTGAAAATCCTTCTGAAAATCCTTCTATATACTGTGCGGTAAACAAGTGGGAGCATTTATAGCAATGCATAGTCCATATGCATAGGGGTAGAAGACCACGCAAGAAATATTTTTGGCTTTCTTCCTCAGTACTCCTAGAGATGAGAGTTACCGTAGCTCATCTTGCAACTATTATATTGAGCTTTTTGCAGTATGTTTGTATTTTTATTTAAGTAAGTATGTGTATATATTTAGTTCCCAGAGAAACTATGTAAGTGGAATAGAGGTTGTCCTGATGATAAATATAAAGAGAGTCGGTCAGCACAGACAAGCACAGACCTCTGACGTGTCTTTCGGGCCCATCCTTTTAATCGAGAAGATGCACTTGCCCATTGCAACCTACAGTGAGTGCACATGTTGGGGGTGTTCCTGGCTATGAGGCTGCTTTGGAAATCATTCTCGCTTGTGCAAGACATTCCTCAGGCAGAAGAGAGCAGCAGCCTGTCCTTTCCTTTGAGCAGGGGTGCCTGGTCGGTGGGTGACCCACACGCTAGCGGCCTCAAGTCTGGGGAGTTATGGTGCGGCAGTGAATGGTAAGAAACACACGTTGCTGGGAGAGGATGAGGAGACTATCAGCCTTGTGAATGTTTCACACAAGGCCCCAGAGCTGTTGCTTTCTACTTGAACTGAGATGGTCTGGCAGCTGTTGGTCTGATCAGTGATTTTTCACCTTCAGCCATCTGTACATAACTATACAGGTAGACCATTTCTCCTTCCCCCTTCTTTGCATTTCAAGTGCAATTCTCTGCTCTAGCTAAAGGTTGCCACACCAGAATTTGTAACCACTGAGCTGGGATATGATTAGAAGAGAAAACTCATCTGCAATTGTGCCTTGGTGAATCTGTGAACACAGGTCTTTGAGATCAGTGGCCAGTGCAGTCGCCCCCCATGTCTCCCTCCCCTGCATGGTGCTCTTTCCTCCGCCACTTTAGCTATCACCTCCTGACAAGTCAGCTGAAGAACAGTGATTTCATGTGTCTCTAAGGTGGGAGGCTGTAACGGATTGCTGAGTAACTTGGAGGCCTCAAATTAAGAAGAATGATTCACAGTAAAACCAATGTGTCTGAAATTTGAATGGGGAGGAGGAAGGGGGCACTTCAGCACTCTGATATTTAAGCTGACAAGCCTTGCACAAAGGATGGTTGAAAGGGCTCAGGAGGATGGAGGGAGGAAGGAGATAGTAACCACAGTGAACTGAGAAGGATTTTGAACGAGCCATGCCCTTGTGATTTGTATCTGCCCATCCTCTGTTTTATCCTGGCCTGTCCTGAAGACACTCTGCCACTGGCCGACAGGCTGAAGTCCTCCAGATGAAATCTGGGGGAAGCATGCACACGTTGCAGGGATATCTCCAGGCCACGCTCACTAATGATCCAAACAGCTGTACGATTTCAAAAGCAAAGCAGGATACTGGGAATAATTTTAACATTTGGAATGAATGTAAACTAAACGAACATGCCAAAGCAGTAAGAGAGAGTAGGTGAAGGAAGTGACTAAAAGTAAACATAGATTCCTGGACCCTTAATAAGAAGCAGTGTAACACTGTGAAAGTAGTGAAACAACCATTGTGTACAGGAAAGAAGTGATCCAAATTTTATCTACATCAGAATTTATTCCCCACAACAAATATGGTGTTTTGTGTTGGTGTACAGCTACTGTGCATTCTTTGACCAGCCTGCATCCAGTGGTGTCATTTTAGACTACACAAATTGCCATCATTCCTTTCTTTATAGGTTGTGTGGTAATAAAAGTAACTCCCCAAAATAATCGAGCATCATTTAGTACTTTTCTTCTGAGTCATAAAAAAAAGAACTGTGTATTTCCTCCCCTACAAGCCTAATGTGGATGTTAACTTTGGAATCTAATTAAATGATAAATGTCATGTTATCTACATAATGCTGGTCACCCTTGGCAAGGCAGTGGAAAGAAGATAGAAATGAAGACCCTGAGAAAGGAATTTGGAAGTCATAAAGAAAAAAAGAAGAAAAGGATCAAGTGAAAGAAAAAGAAACAGGGTAAAGGACAGAAATTGCAGGGAGAACACAGCTGTTCATTATACCAAGCCCACACTAGATAGAGACTTGTGATTAGTAATATTGGGATTTGTGAAGCAGTTACACCATGTTGTGTTGTTGCACTGTAGACATAACTGCCTTGACTCCACTCTCCTGGAGACTCAGAGCAGTGTGCAACCCCATCTGAATCCCAAAGCACAGGGTGGAATCAGGATTTCCATCTGGTTTTCTTGGAGGAGCAAGGCATGTGGTTGTACAGAATGGAAATGAGAGGTTGGGTTGTCTGCTTTCGATGGCTTGGTCTGGAAAGGCTGCCTTAATTCTGTTAACCTTTAAGAGAGTAGTTAACATCTAATATTCTTTAATGCTAATATGTTGACACCATCTCTGGTTGCACAACCTTAACCTTGCACTGCATGTTTTGCATGGAGTTTGTATGCTGGACAGCCTGCTATATGGCAAAAGCAAAAGGGGACATTCCCATGGTGTTTCCACAGGGTGCTGAAGTTTTGGCCTTTGTCTTTCTTATGGAGCAAACTCTCAACTTGTGAGCAGCTGGGACATCGCCTGCAGCACCTCCAGGTCATCAGCAGCAATAAGAAGGCTCAAAACCACACTCAGCTAATGAGGTATGGAGTACACAGTCATGCATGTCTTTGCTCTAGCCCTGTCTCCTCCAGGGAACCCAAACCGTGGATTCTGTGCCCGCACAGCACTGTGGGGTCCTCACTGTACCGTGTCATGTCGCCTTGCTTGCTCTTCTCCCTGCTACTTTGCAGATCTTTACCCTGCACTCTGTTTATATGCCTTTTTCCCTAGCCTGAGAAAGGCAACCAGAATATTGCCCACAGAAGGCTTGCGCTGTGCCCATGTGTGTAGTGCTTTGCTATCACTACTCCCACAAGCTGATTACTTTCACATATGCTGCTGTTAACCAAAAACTGCAGTCAATATTCACTGACACTTTCCGTACAAGCAGAAAGGTTTAAATGATCCCCTCTTCATCCACTCTTTTGGGGAATCTTGCATTAACTGCTGACCAGACTCCAACAGCAGTAACAAAATCAGTGTAACAGAAAAAGCAAACGTGCAGCAGGGAGAAACAAGAGATCTGAGACAGATACTGAATGCCCTATGGCCATTACACAGCCCGTTTTGTCCTGTGTGGTTCCTGATCCTGCAGTAATAGACTCCCAGGTAACACTTAAAATAGACTAGCAGATTTGAAGGCCAAAAGTAACTGTGATTGTTTAATCTGATTTTCCGAATAACTCATGTCATGAAATTTTGTTCAGAAAGCCTAGCAGTGAAGGGACAGTTCAGCAGTCCTTCTGGGTATGTCTGTGTACCCAGAAATGCTATTTATTACATTGACTGAAGTTCAACTGAAGTATACCTCTTGGGAAGCCATCTGATCTCAACGTGGATACTCCCAAGTTCTGGTGTCCTTAGTACTGGTAAATCCCTCCCTTAGTATGTATATACACAATTGTTTAACATTCCTCTTTGTAACTTCAATTCCCTCTCTTCAGTCCCTTTACTAAAAAAGGTTTTGTGGTGTGGTAGGCTCTGAGTGGCTCCATGTTTGGCCACAGAAGTAGCAGCAGACCAGTGAAACTCAGAAGATCTCTACACCATGCCTCTTCAGTAAATTATCCTGGTGTCCCTGGGACATTAAGGATGCTGTGGAAAGTGAAGCCGACAACTGTCATTGAAACATTAAACACTGTCCTTCCTTTTTCTCTCACACTGTTCCTCTTTATCCTGCATGCAGGAAAGCCAACATCTTTGTCTCTCTGCTGATTGATGTGGCTCTGGGGATACTGCTGATGTCCTGGCTGTACAGAAAGAACCGAATTGGTCACCTTGCTGATACTCTCATTCCTGTGGCTGATGTAAGTGTGGCCAAAGCAGTTTCTCTTTCACCTGCTATGGGTACTGACCAGCTCTTGATGCCTGGGGTAGCTGTAAGGAGGCAACGCCTTACAAGATTTTCAGAGACAGACCTGTTTTAGGTCTCCTCTAGAACAGTGAAATCTTAAAATCAAACCTGCTGGAGCTGCTCAAAGGGAGCACAGCTCTGCTTTGTGTGTGCAGTGAGTAGTAATTAGATGTTTACTGGAGGGCTCCTAAAGTAACAATTGTGGCTTGGCCAGAGCTCTGCAGCTGCAGGTTGAATGGTTGTTGAGCCATAATACTTTTATTCTGGAGTTGACAAGAAGTGTCCTCAGGTTGTTGCTATATGGGGCATTTGGGGGGAAAAAAAAAAAAAAGCCTGTAACCTGAGTTGAATCTGATAAACTGCTGAAAAGTCAAACTTGATAAGCAGTGCAGCTGTGCTTGTGAAGAGGAATTTCATGGGGAAATCCAAAGGCATTAGCTAGTCAGGATACGAACACCTGAAATCCTGTCTAAGAGCTCTGGTGTACAGATGGTAACCCAGGAAAACTTGCTGTGTCCTGTGATTTTCTCAAACATACTCCTCTTGCCCACTGAGAACCCTCTGCATCAGCATAAATTCATAAAGAAGTATGACTCACACTGTCCTGCTTTTCGGTGGCTCATTTTAGGTGCAGTACTCCAGTATATCTGTTTAGTGGCAGTAAGGAACATATAATGTAGTTCAGAGGCTGGAGACCAGACCAGCCATCTGAAGTTAGCTCCATTTTAAGAGCTTCTTGTTTTGGAAATACATGTGCAGCCAATGTTGAGCACTGTCACGCAGCCGCACAGTCTAATCCTTTCTCTGCTCACTTTCATTTCTGGAAGAGAAGGTGGATATTTCCATTGATTTCCTTCTAGCTGCTGGAGAATGTCCTCTCTTTGCTCTTTCTCCAGATTCTTGGTTGGGAGGAATTTTATTCTGATTAGAGAATTCCAGCAGCAATTTATTTTTCCTACTTATGTTGTCTTTCTTGGGAAGAGCTCACATTTCTCTTGATGATAATCTGCTTGGTCTATGTCTAACCTTTTAATTGTTACAAGCCATAGGTCTCTGATGATTCTTGTACATGCTGTGCTTTCAGAAAGTGTGTATGGAGTGTCCAGCACAGCTGTAGATCATGATTATTGATATTTTTTGTTATCTTTCATAGTCAAACTTTTAAGGATTGCATGTTTTAAGGATTGCTGCAGACACAATTCAGCAGCAGTGGTGGGGTAGAAAGGACCCCAATTCTTGCTATGCACTTGCTTTTCTGTTTGAGCTATACACTAGAAATATTTTTCTGAGTCTTATTCCTTACAGATATTTCAACTGGAGAAGTTTTAAGTTCTCTAGAGCTTTCCCTATGGGATTACTGTAGATGTCCAGCTCTCATAAAGATGATACCTTAACATGTCTGCAAGGAAGTGGCTTTTGGCTGCGTTCCTATTCGCACAGGTGGCTCCAGGAGCGGTTCCATCTGCCCAGTGTCTTTGGCAGATGGACACTCTCTGTGCTCAAGGTGTATCCAATCTCAGCACCTGTCCTGGGTAGGCTTGTTTGTGATAGTTGTTCGTTCATTCCTCTTTCAGTAGTTTAGCTCATCTGTCACTCAACTTACGCATCATAGTGTCAGTTATTTTCACCATGTCTCCTACATGTGAGGACTTCATTACCTTGCTATCACCAAGAGCTGTTTACTTACTTCCTGGAAGTGCTAACTCCTCCTTGTGTAGGTAGCCTGGTAGTCAGTGCCTTTCTTCTCTGATTCTCCAACCTTGTCAGTTCAGGCCACTTAACAACTCTTCTTACTTTCCAGACTTACTTTATTCTGTCAAGCATATTAGATTGTGAACATAAAATCTTTTGGAGTCCTTTTACTGCCTTCAGTGGGCATTGATTTATATGCATTATGTGCAGGCCTTAAAAAATGCAGATCTGAGTGATCCCAAAATATACCAATGACTTCAGCATGTGGTGTGCAAGCCAGCACCACTTCTTTTCCAGTATGACAGCAAAATCTCCCCTTAGCCATTCAGCAGTAGGTTTCCTCTTCACCGCTGAGTGTCCATCTGGTACATATTATTCCCATCACTTGGGCTTTCTCAAGTGCTTACATGTTGCCAAGTTCAGTAACACAAACTTTCCCATTTGCAGAATGAGTTAGTTTTCCTTCCCTAGTGCTCCTTGCTATTCTGCTTTTGATATGTGCCCCAGATCTGACAATGGCATTGACCTTATATCTCTGTATCTGTTAGTAAATAGAACATTATATAATTTATTATAATATATTTAATAAGGTTATATACTTAACCTTATTTTAACCTTATTGATCTGATTGATTTTAATATTGACAAGCTAACCTTATATAGCCTATAACCTTATTGGTTTGATTGATTTTAATATTGACAGAATTGTAGCTGTGTGGGGACTGGATACAGTGCTCATTTTTCTTCCTAGCAAACATCTCTCTGGAAGGAGGCAGATGCAGGTAGGTTATTTTGGCTCTCAACAACTGCCAGGGTCATAAGCTCAGCCTGCTGACGTGAGGATCAAGCCGTGTTCCCTAGCCATCATTCGTCATCCCTAGATATAATGGTTCTCAAATCAGCACTTATCCAGCATTGTTGATGATGCACAAGACATCATTGACTGCAGCTCCCACTTTCACAGCCTGATGAGCTGTGCTGTGCTGACTGTAATAACAAGTTGCTTTTGTCAGTAAATGAGGCAGATGTGATTCAGAGACACCTAGGGAGTAACTGGCAAGTAGCTGTATGCAATACGAAGGACTGATTTTTGGAGCAAGCTTTCAAATCCAAGAATGGAAAATGTCAATAATCTTTTCTCTGTAGGTGCCCTCACAACTCCTACCCTCCTCCATCCTCATGCTCCCACCAGGCTTCCCAATGGTTGTCCTTGATTTTGCCTTCCACAACAGCCTTCTTTCAAAAATACCCAATTCACAGAATCACACGGGTTGGAAAAGACCCTTGGGATCATCTAGTCCAACCATCAGCCCCAGTCTACAAAGTTCTCCCCTTCACCACATCCCCCAACAGCTCATCCAAAAAACCCTTAAACACATCCAGGGATGGTGACTCCACCCCCTCCCTGGGCAGCCTATTCCACTCTCTGACCACTTTTTTTTTTTCCCTAATGTCCAGTCTGAACCTCCCCTGTTGAAGTTTAAAGCCATTTCCTGTTGTTCTGTTGCTAATTCCCTGTGAGAAGAGACCAGCACCAGCCTCTCTGCAATGTCCTTTCAGGGAGCTGTAGAGAGTGATGAGTTCTCCCCTTAGCCTTATTTGAAGGGCTACATTTGTCTGTTTTAAGAAGAACTGCTTATAAACCATCTTCTTTTTTTTTTTTTTTCTCCTTCACCTCTTTCATCCTTGTTGATGTCTCTTTTTTTCTTAAGCTGTAATCTCTTTGAAACCATGAAAAATTTATCATAGATAGTGCCTCCAAAAATGTTACTGGGGCTCAGAGATAATTGGATGTAAGTTCCTACTCACTCATGCTCTGCTAATCCGTAAACAAAACCAGCAGAGAGGACACTTCCTGGAAAATATTCTTAGATAATATTCAATATACGTAATTGGTAAATTAGTATAACTTAGAGCCCCAAATGCCTCCAACAGATGCAGGGCAAATCTCTCTGGTAGGGAGTGCTTTGGCTCTGCTTGCTCTGTCTTGCACTAGATGCTCTGCTCAGGAAGTTTGCCTTGTGCTTCCTGGTGCCCATGGTGCCCACTCACAGTGCTCTGTGTGCCCTTCTCCATCCATGTCACATCACCATTACACCCTCTGCATATAGAGACTAGAAAGAAGAGCATGACAGTAAAGGAAGTATTTCCACAGTGATCTCATCCAAACCATGTTAGCTTTAGTCTCTAGTTGGTAATGTCCCTACACCCCTTTATGAAACACTTCCAATTCACTCTATCTTATTAATACTGCACACATTCAGTATTCATGACTGCAACAGGAGAATTGGACTCCCAGTCACCTTCTCTGATTCTGCTTGCTATTGATCACTCCTAAAATACCTGGTTGGAAAACAACCTGAAAGGTTACGCCCTAGGACTATGTTTTGAAATGCTACACCCAGCTAAATAATGGCAAGCTAGGGCACCTTCCCAGAGCTACATGCCCCTGTCAGAATTTAGTAGCACCTCTGGGACTGGCAGCCTCCAGAAGTATTCAGTGCTGAAAAAACAGCCTTGCTGAAGGACTGCTTTCAAGCATTTAAATATTTCATTAAAATCCCCAAATGCTTTTTCTAAGTTACCAGTCCAACACTTTAAATATTAAAACCAGTCTATTTATAAAGTAGCTAACACATCTCAGCCACAGAGGTAAGATCCATGGGTTCAAGTCAGTTCTAACTTGCAGAGAGACAGAGGGAAAATGAATGAAATAAAAAGGCAATCCTTTTGGGTAAGTTGAAGATGGAGCCCTTAATTTTGCCACTACACTAAAAGTAAATGTTTACAAACTCATTTTGCAAGGATCCTGTTGGTTAGTAAATAACATGAAATCATTCCTTGGAAATAATTTTCCCTTAGGGAAATTATCCATATGAGTGATGGGGAAAGTAGGCTGCAGTGCTTCATCAGCCTTAAGTAGCAGTCTTGACTCTTCTACATATGCACCATTTGCAGTGCAATTCACTTGCATGGACTTGACTCTTTAAGTGGGCTTTTCAGAGGTAGAAGGCTTTTACTCCCAATCTGTGTTCATGAGGGACAGTGTGAGAGGTCACTTCTTCCAGGTATGTTCCCCACCTGTTTGCTGGAGGTTACCACTCTCAGCTACCTCAGTTCACAGCCTGGTAAATGGACTTCACCGCTGGTTTCAGCTTAGGTGAGTAGGTCAGGTGCAAACTACTGAGGAGCAGAGCCACCCCATCTTCTGCCCTGTCAACTGCAAGGGGAACCTCTGGCAGAGTAGTGGAGTAGAAAGAGAAAATCAGTAAATAATATCAGCCTGGAATGAAATCACCAGAAATTGTGAGTCAGAGCCATCAGTGGTTTGGGGATGAGCTCCATTAGGCTTTTTTCTCAATGATTCAGAGGACCTCTTTTTTACTGGGATGCCATGGGTACCTCTCCATGAAGCCTTGCACAGAGACACAATAGTGATGGGCAAGATCAGTGCTATACAGCATGGTTAATCTTGCTTAGTACACCACAAAGTATCAAGAAAATTTGTTTATGTATGAAATACATTTATATAATTGTGTTTTCTACCATGCTGTAAATACATACAGGTTATCTGTTTGTAAAAATTCACTTCTTTTTCCCATGAGTGCACCGCCATCTTTCCCCCTTTTAAAATCTTGACAGCCTTTCCCATAGTAAGCTTACTTGCTCAGTTGTGATTTTTTCAGTTGACTGTCCAAAGAAGTCAATTTGGGTACCAGCATTTGCCATCTATTTTAAGAACTTTCCTTACAGCAAGAACTCATACTGTGCAAGTCTACCAGAGGTGGCCATAAACAAACGCTAGATTCATGTTTCCGACACTGATACCGTTTAAGCAGTTCAGCTTCCTCTCTGCTGTTATGTTTGGATTCAGTAGAGTCAATAAAGGTGCATTCCTGATTTAACTAGTTGTCTGTAAAGTGGTTGTTTGGATTTTTTTTTCCATTGGTTTGAAGGTGCGGTAAGAATACTGGGGAGGGGGCAGCATGTACAGTGCACTGGACCGGCTCAGTGCGGTGGCAGTCTTTTATCTCAGGTGCTTTACTTCCGTGTGTTTGTAGCACGTAGCTGAAGAGCTACAGGACCTGCTCCAGTGGCTAATGGGAGCACCAGCTGGACTGAAAATGAACCGAGCTTTGGATCAGGTTTTGGGCCGCTTCTTCCTTTACCACATCCATCTTTGGATTAGTAAGTGCAATTGTTTAACTTTCCAGCCTCCCTTTTCATCTCTTTCCTCCTGAGTGTTTAATGTTTGCCTAGAGGTGAACAATGAATCAAGATGCATTACTGCAAGTAAAAACTTGTCTGTGAGTCTTCCTGCTGTGGGAACTCAAGCCAAAGTTGGATTCCCACAGAAGGAAGTCATGCATATTAAATAAAGTGCTTGTATTGATGCTTTGCACGAAGTGCAAATCACAATGCAGCTTACTTGGTGCCATTAGTGGTGAGTGTCCAAGGAAGGGCTTTAGGTCTTATGAGGCTTTTGTAGTCTTTGTCATGTAAGAGGCAGCTGATAAGATAGGGATGAGGAATGTGCTCTCGAGATGCAAATGACAACCCAGTCCTACAAGAGACTTCAGCTTAATGCAACTTTATTATTTCAAGTCCCTACTTGAAATAGCAGACCCCTGCTATCCTTATTAAGTGTCTTGATAAAGGAGTACAGTCATGATGGACATGAACTCCTTGGTTACCAGACTGATTTACTTTGCTCATCAATCAAGTATGGTCTTGTTACTGTGACTTTGCTCCACTTCAGTGATGAGACTGTATGCCTCCACACTGGTTTATTTTGCAAAAGCCACATGGTGGCTTTTGTGGGAGTAGCAAGAAAATGGGAATGGTTGTAGGAAAGGTTGATGTGTGCAGCTAAAAATGTACTTAGGAACTTGGACGCAAATCTAGGAAAGCAAATTGCATGTGGAACAAGGCGACTGCTCTCTTCCAGCTAAGCATGTCCTCCCCTTCCTCACAGAGGTGGCATGCCTGGACAGAAACCCTGGGGGAAAGAGAGCTTTTGTTGTCCCTCCTAAACAGAAGATGGCATCTAAAGGAGTTTCCCAGTTTTGCTTCTGGTTTTTTGTGACTATGATTTCTGCAGCAATGTTCTAGGGCTGGAGGAATCAGTCTTTTGAGAGTGTCAACAGGGAGATGTTTCATTCAAATACTGACACTCTGCAATGCCCACTAGGCTACATTCACCTGATGTCCCCATTCATTGAAATGATCCTCTGGTACGTTGGTCTGTCAGCTTGTCTGGGCCTGACCGTGGCTCTCTGCATCCTCTCCGACATCATTGCGCTTCTGACCTTCCACATCTACTGCTTCTATGTCTATGGAGCCAGGTGAGTTGATCTCTCTTGGCTGTGTCTTGGGTATGTTTGGTGAGAAGGACCATGTCTTTAATTTGTGGAGCATTCAATTCTGGTTTAGTTCTCTTTAATTCACAGTTCAGCAATTAATTTATTGCATTCTTTAATACATGTAGAAATGATGACCACAGTAGTACAAGCAACCTATCTTTCAGTTCTCCTGTGTTTTAAATATTTATTTGTTGTGATAGTGACATGGAAAAATAAAACTACATGACAGGCAGAGGACAAGAAAGCAGTTCATCCCAACTCTTTGATTCAACCTTATAGTACTCTTTTCATTTGCACCCTACCCAGTAAATTTGAAAGGAACTGGAGGAGAGGAGGACGAAAGGGGAACCCTTGTCCTTCTGGAGAAGCCCCAGAGTCCCTGCCTCTGCCCTGCTTCCGTAGTTCTTGTCTGCATCATGGAGAACAGATGGCAGGTTTGGGGTTACAGCATGGCTGTGACACCATCCTGGTGTCATTGTCTGGACCTACTGGAGGGCCCCATGAGCTGAGAGCTGGGCAGAGGGAGTGTGTGGGAGTGCAGGGGGCTTTGGGGCACGTCTGGGGCATGTTGGAGTTACTGTGCCGATGGTGCCCACCAGTGTGCTCTCTTCTGCCTCCCATGAACACGTGCTGCAGCAAGGAGTCACACAGGGCACTGGAGGATAGCTGCTCTTGCCATCAGGTGAGAGAGAAAATAATTAATAAAGGAACTTTTGACTTATAAACTACAGAATGGTCATTGTTCCTCGCCAGGTTGTGAATAGGGGGCTTTACATTGCAAACAACAGAAGAAATAGTAGAACTTTAGTTGTGGATAATTTAGGGAATGGTTAGAAATACTGAGATATGATTTATGTATCAGGTCTGTTGTGAGCATAGGGCTTACATCCAAAATCAGTAACGGGGAGTCTCTTCCTAGCACCTCTAATTACTGGAATTTCTGTTTTGGTCTGTGAGGAGTGGCCTTGCTCCTCCTAATTGTGCAGAGAGTGGAAATAGGAAAAGCATTTTCTCAGCTGATTGCTTTTCCCTTGCAAGCTGCAGGGAGCCAGTCTACCCACCTCAGCTGTTTGTGAGAAGTGTAGAGTATGTTATCTTGCTGCTGGCAGGCCCCTGCTGTGCCAGGTGTCCCCCGTGGAGAGTCAGGAAGGAATAGCAGTCACCCATGTCAACACGGCCACCACAACACCTTGCATTTCTGCAGCTGGCGGAAGAATTTGCTGGTTTCAGGTGCTGTTGAAGCCTGAGATCCCCTTCTGAAACAAACCACAGAGTGAAACAAGAGCAGGCATGTGTGTGCAACAGCCAGGGAAGGTGGGGCAGGTGCTACAGCAGGAACACCCGCTTGGTGTCATGTTGGGGTGCACGGGGGAGTGGGTGGCCTTAGTCAGAGTCACAGGGCAGGTGTGTACCAGCAACCTGGAGGAGCTGTCCTGGGCACCCTCCTGCCTAGGGATTAGTGCACAGAGCTGTGCCTGCCAGTCTGGGGGCACCCTGCCAATTCCTTGAAGCAGTTGGTGTTCCTCTAACCAGATTTTCCTCTTGGATAAGACTCTTTGCCTCTGCTTTCACAATGCTGCCTTGAAATCTGAGCAGCCTCCACACCTTAACTAGGCGGGTTAACCAATCTGGCTTTTGTAGCTCAAGCTTTCTCAGGCTCCATTCTGCCCCACAGATTGGCTGTGTCCCCTTCCTTTACATCCCTGTACATTGGACACTGCTGCCCAGGGCTCATTGTGCCTCTTCTCCATGGCAGGGGCTCTTTCTTCCTTGATATTCCATAGGGGTATCTCTTTCCCACCCCTTATCACCCCAATCTTCTCTCACCATTGCCATTTTTGTGGGAGTGAAGTAGCTCAAAGTGTCATAGCACCAAGTTAGGAAAACCTAAGGAAAGGATGTGATAGGGGCCACCAGCCATTTAGGTGGTCTCTTTCCACTCTTAAGGATGTTTGAAGCTGTGCTATAGTAAAGAAGGTGCAGGGGCTCCAGTCCTCTCCTTTGTCTCTCAGTGCTGTGGGGACAAAATTGAATTGCATTGACTCTAGTGTGAGGGGTAAGACCTTGGCCATTCCTGCTGTGGAAGGGTTGTGAAGCAAGGGCAACAGGGCAGTTCTGAACTGGAGAGACTGAGGTGAGCTGGAGGGAATGAGCTTGCTGCTTCTTTTGCTGCCGGGAAGGTGGTTGCATGGGCCTGGAGATTGCTGCTGCTCATAGGGGCCACCCTCCAGCAGCACTTGCCACTTCCCATATGCCAACCTCTTCATCAAGAGGAGCAGAAATTAAGAGCCTTGCCACAGCCCTGGGACACGGCATGGCTGTTGCCCTCCAGTGGTCCAGAGCTGTCTGCAGTAGCCTGCTCTGCCTGTGCCAGGGGTGAGCCCAAATATGGTTGACTGAGCAATTAGTATTTTATCTGCGTCATTCTCGGGCTGATTTCTTTTGCTTCCCTGAGTTCTGCGGCGTCAGTGAGTGGGCGCAGGGGTGTAATGATGACAGCTGTTTTGTGTTGAAGCTTGGGAACTCGCAGCTCTGATGCACAGCATCTTCTCTTTGCTCAGGCTCTACTGCCTGAAGATTTACGGCCTGTCATCTCTCTGGCGCTTGTTCCGTGGGAAGAAGTGGAACGTTCTCCGGCAGCGGGTGGATTCCTGCTCCTATGACTTGGACCAGGTAGTGCTGCAGCACCAGGGGCTCACTGCGGGCTGCTGCCCATGGCAGGGCGATCCTATCCTGCTTTGGCTAAACTGAGACAGAAGCCACGGAGGGCTTTGTAGTTCCCAGAACAAGTGCATGCTCCAGCTCTCTGCATCTGTGTCTTTTCAACCGAATGCTTGGACTCTGCTGCTCCGCAGCACCCCTTCACTTCTCTGCATCTTCAGGGGGCCTAATTCTGGCAAGTGCTGAGCACCTGCAAGGCACCCTGATGAACTGCAGTGGGTGCTGCAGATGCTCACAGCTCCTGGAGCATGGGAGTGGGTATGGGGGAGGGAGGCAATTTAAAAAGTGGTGCCCAGCAGTGTTGCCACAGTAACAGACATGCCAGCGTTTCTATTAAAAGGCCCCGTTTCATTCACGTTGTGCTGGAGCCTGGCCCACACATTCTCACTCAAGCAGCAGAGGCAGTTTTTTGTCAAATGCTGTAAGCGCTTTTTAATTTCTGAAATGCCATGCAAAAGTTCATCAGAGTCTGAACCACTCCACGCCAGCAGTTGCAAACATCACTAAAATAATACAATAATATTTGGTAAGTTCAAGGGCCAGCACCTGTCTCTCCATTGCAACAGATAACCTTGAGCTTCTTACACCACAGTGGAGGAGCCATTTTTCTGTTTCTTTGGTGATTGAAAGCTTCTGTGCCAGGAAGACAGTTTGCATCAGCGCTCCGTCCCTGTGTACTTTGAGGAGAGTTGATTTGGCACTTCAGGCCTCATCCTGCTGTTCTGGAGACCAGTGGGAATTATGTGGCTGGCCTGGGTGGGAAGAGATGTTCAAAGCAGACCTTAAAAGACTTTCAGAGATGTTAAGCAACTGCAGTGGTGTGACAGAGGAGGGGAGAAACAACTGCTGTGAAGAGAATGGATTTGGGTTATGATCTATTTCTGGTTATGTGCATAAAGCTGGGTGTTGTTCCGCCTCTGACATGGCTGTCTGGGTTATTTTATTTCATAATATACCACGGCCATGATCTCTTTTTGCAGAGATGACAGTGCCCTGTGTTCCTGTGGCCTCTCTGTTCTGAAAGTGGTGACTGAAAATTGAAGAGTCAGATCCCTATTCGTCTTAAATCTGCATTTCTCCAGTTGAAATTTGTTAGATTTACACCAACTGGGCTGGCCCAGAATAAAAATAACTTTTTCTGTGGGCGGTGGAGCTAATGACACCTGCTTTCCTATGGATTTTTCTCCCTCATCCTCTGCATATCACTCCCCCCACCCCAGTAACTCCAGCTTCTTTCTCTCTCCCAGTTTCCCCCTGAGCAAGAGGCAGAAGTCCTGTGGCTGGACTGACCAGCCAGCTGCTGCTGCTGGGAGTGTTTATCAACCAGATTTTGTCAGCTTTTCACCAGGTGCCCCTTCTGCTAAAACAAAGAAGAACAAAAATACTTCTCAATTCTCTCTAAAAAATTCCCTGCCAAATTTCTACTTCTTTGTACCCTTTCACATTTTTCTGGTAAAAACTGACCAATGGCTCTAAAACTTAATGGGGATAGGGAGTGGAAAAATGGCATTAGCATGTAAGTCTTGTTTCCTAAGGAAGCTGACCTGAGATAGGAAATCTTGAGTATTGTCTACAAAGGAAAAAATGCTGTCAGGATCCAACTTATTTGTCTTTCCAAATATAGTCCTATAATAGGGAGTCTTCTAAAAAGTCTCTAGTGAGAGGAGTACTGAGAATATTCAAGGTAACAGCATTATTTGCATAGGGAGTAAAAAAACCACATTGATGAGTCTTGCAATCTTTCCTTGTCTCAGTTTCCTATTCTTTTATTTTTATTTAGCCATTGCTTTGCTATTAATTGCTTGTGTTTCTTTTTTTCCCTAGTTATTTATTGGCACTTTGCTGTTTACAATCCTGCTGTTCCTCCTGCCTACAACTGCACTGTATTATTTGGTGTTTACCCTGGTAAGGTTTAACTCTTCAAGCTAGTCATGTACTGTCTTCTGAGATATTAAAAAATGGTTTCCTAATCATTTACTGTCATCCACAAAGAAAATACAAATTTGTCTGGGTGTCCCAGGAAGGGTTCTTACACAGCCCATGTAGACCAAGCAAATGGAATTCAGGATACATTTTTTTGTTTCTCCAGAGGGAATTCCCAGCAAATCCTGGTCAGCAGGCCAAGCTGTTCCCCTCCCTTTCACTCAGCAGTAATTTTTTTTTTTATCTTTCCATCCCATATCTGGGGTGACAGCCCCTCTAGTTTGATCCAGAATTTTTTTTTTTCCCATGAAATTAGTGTTAAATGCTTTCAGCCAATCTTTGCTCAGAAAGGTTGGACTTCTTTATTTTTCTTTTCTTCCCCCAATATGACTAGTCCACTCTGAGGCCTGCTGGAGCAAAATTTTCCACAGACAGTGGCCATCACATGGCTCACAAAAGATGTTGAAACCCTCTCTTTTCAGATGAGCTTGGCAGCAAAAATAAATGCAGTCTGAAAAAAGGAGCTGCTTTAATCAGGAGACAGAAAACACTGAGCAGGAAGCTCATTTCTGACAGCTTTGCTCTTGCTTAGATGCTCTACATGGAGTTTCTTCAGGCAGAAATAAGCTACTTCAGTTCACTGTTGGAGAGAGAAAAATTTACATGCACTGACACACAGTGATGGAGTTTACTAGAAATAGAAGCCTGAATTCTCCCCTTTAAGACTATGACTGTTGAAAGCAGAGTAGCTCTCATGTCCTTGCAGGTCACAGCCTCTACAAGCATGGGAGCTTCATTTCAGTTACACCCTTAAGCTAAGATTGTCAAGGAACCTCACAGAGGGTCTGGATGCCCAGCACTTCTGGATGTCAAACCCACTTTGGGAGGCTTTAGCTTAGCACACAACAATGTCAGATTGCAGATCAGCTCATGAATTTACAAGTGTTGCATCTCCTGTTTCTCTGAGATCTTCTTGTTAAACTTCTTTGTAGCTCCGTTTGCTGGTGGTGATTGTGCAAGGCCTGATACATTTGCTAGTTGACCTGATTGACTCTCTGCCTTTTTATTCAATCATCCTTCGGCTCTGCAGATCCTACAGACTTGCAGGTAAGTCCTTCAGCACTGCACAGGCAAAAGTTCAAGGATTTTGCATTATGCATTTCAATTTGTTGCAATGGGTAGTTTTTGAATAGAAAGATGCAGGGGGGCAGGAGAGAACCCAAGGCTCAGGTCGTGCAGTTGTTCATACTGTTAATCAGTTCCTGCAAGGAGCAGGATGAGGATGTCAATGGAAAGAAATCTGATGCTGAGCCAGAATCAGGAGCACCTTTACAAAGCCTGTGGCAACTAAAAGTGACATCCGAACAAGCACTGTATAAGTGAGGTCATCTTTTGTTTCCAGTTCTAAAGTATGTAAAGTAAGTAAAACTTCTGAGAGTTAAACAAACTGTTAACCTTGGGGGTATGGGCTCTGAAACGAGCCAAATTACAAAAATACTTGGAAAATCTGCTGCTTCAGAGGGCTGGATCTACAGTGGGTGTGAATCAATGGAACTGCTTCAGTTTTGTGCTGACTTGACTAACTGAAGTCCTGAGCTGAGGTGTTTGGATTAACTTCAGAGCTCTGGGCAGATTTCAGATAATCATTCTCATCTTGAGACTAATCTGTCACTGTTTTAAACGATTCATCGTTTTTCCACTTTTGGTAACCATCAGCCGTGGTTGGCACCAGAGTAAAGGGTCATTTTGGAATGGGTTTAACTGTCAATAGCTATGGTTAATCTAGTTAAAATCAAGCATGTCTAAATTATTATCTCTCATCCATTTAAAGAGCATGCAGAAGGAATTTAAAATACAAGAAAGAGCTTGATCATCATTAAACCAAAGCTAGTCATCAAATGCAATGGAAGCTTGAGGCAACTGATACCAGCTTTGTCTGTTGGAGCAGTGCCAGGCTTGATTTTGGGAAGGTATAGCTGAGCCATGTTACCAACTCTGTTGCTTTTCCATGTGTTCCTATGAATTTCCTGGCAGAAGCTTCTTAACCCTTCAGGGCTCTCTTTGGAGAACAGGAGAAGCTGCTGAAGAAAACTGACCCAGTAAACAGCAGGTCATAGGGCAGAAGGAAATATTGTTACCGCTGCGAGATGTAAGGCCACCAGTCTTAGATTACTTCTCTGTTTTGCTCAGCCAGCTACCTACTGCAGGGTAGCAAGCCTCCACCCAGGTAGAGGATTGTCTTCTCAATTGAGTTTGTTACCTGACGTAGTTTCTTTGTTGGCTGTTTGTTTGATCCTCTTAAACATTTTAAGAAAGAGAACACTGCAGTGCCATGCTGTCTGCTAGATGAAGAAGCATTTCTGAGAATTTCTGCAGCCTGTGTTCCTGCCCCAGTGCAAAAACATGTCATTGCATTCATAACAGATGGAGCAGTTGAATCAAATTCAAAGGACTTTAGAGAGTACACATCACTTGATGTCCTCACTGCTTAGGTTTTATCTCCCTTTTCAGACTCAGAACTTGGATAAGACATCCTCTGGCATATGTTATGGCAGCTGGTTTTAGAGGCACCATCAAGATGATTCTACCAACATGAATGGATAGATTTTCCTGTCAGCAAGGGGTTAGTGCAGTGTTTAAGTTCAACTCAGTTCAGTCGTGGCATCTGGCCTCCAAGTTCTTCGACTCAGTTTCTGAATTGACAAAATATTACATTGATGAAGCCTGGGCCAGGATAGGTGAACAATCCATCCACACACTAGAAACAAAATCCATATTTTCTTTCCACACATCTGAAGTGAAATACTTTGGACTTTTAAAAGCCTTTTTCACATATATCAAAGCTGATGTCCTCTGTGCAAGAGTTATGTCCACCCAGTGTCAGCTAAAGGGATGCCACCTTGGTTGTGATGAGTACACTGTGATGTCGATTTAGAGTGTGAAGTAAGGCATAGCAGTGAGGTTCAGGGGTCTCAAACTCTGCCCACACACAAGTTACCAACATAGATTTTGATCATGAACAGGTCAGTTCATTGTCTCTGTATTTTGATTTCCACCTTTCTCAACATTCACATCCCAAACTTTGGGGCAAGTTTTGTCATGGTTCTGTAGGACCTGTCATGGTGGTGTCTCCATGATTACTGAAATACAAACGAGAAGGGAGCTTGCTTTAGTGTGCTGTCATGAAACAAAGCAAATGGGTTCATGTCCTGACCGATCTTGTGCCATCGATGATGCCTGTATATAGAAAAAGCAGAACCCTGAGCTCTGGAGTTGGCTGGCAATCACAGAATAGTTTAGGGTTCTCTGCTAGAGTGATCTGCAGTAGACCGAGCCTTCCTACTTTTTCTGTGAAGTGAATTGCTCAGACTCCTCTGAGCTTTGTAGTAATCTGTAGGTCATTCTAAAATAAATTTATAGTCTTTTTGTGCATGTATTTTCTTAGAAGTTTAAGACTCTTGAACAATTAAATAACCTAAATAAGAGATTGTTGGCTTGCAGCTGTAGAAGGGAAGTGTGTGGCCAGTGACCTTCAGAAACAGCATTTTCTGGTCTAATGGGCTGTTCCTAGGATAAGGCTTCAGAGTGCTCAACCTCATCCCTACAACTTCAGTGCCCACTAGTTTCTGTCTCTCTTGACAAATTACCTGCCTGCAAAGTAGTTCCTGGAATGGCTTAGACACTTCTTAGCCAAAACTCAATGAATTATGTTGAACACTTTTTGTCATCCAGCACATTTGCTTACTGAGACCCAGGGTACTCAAACATCTTTTTGAAGGCACTAGGGGAGCCCGTGTTTCAATACAATTCAGCAAAATGCAGCTAAATCCTTCCTGTCCTGTACAGAAAAGGCTTTATGATTTGATGAGAGAGTTTAAACCAGAGCTCTCTGCTAGACAAGAGTATTCTTTCCCAGGACTAAACTGTATAATTTTAATTAATTCAAAGCTTGAGGGAAAAGAGAAAATGTTATGGTTTTTTAAATGTGCAAGAGTCACACAGTTGCTATAGGGATGGGACTTACACAGATAAAGAATTTTATTTCTATTTATACTCCTGAGTCACTCTTTGATCTGTGGCAGATCACTTCATTACTCTTGCCTCATCTTCTGACCTGTAGAAAGGAATAATAAGGGCACACTTGGCTGGTGCAGGTTTGCAGAAGATGGATTGGGTTTATTTCTGTGAAGTGATTCAAGATCTTTCAAAGAAAAATGCCTCTCTAGTCCTAGTTGTTACCTTTATTTGAAACATTGCATTAAATGTTGATGTGCACTATGTCACCTTTGGAATCCAAAATCTTTCCCATTTGTCTTTACAGTATTGGGAATATAGCAAATACAGAAAGAAATATAAAAGTGGCAGGTTTGATGGGCTTAGTAGCATGTTAAAAACATATGAATGTTGGGATTAATAGGCAGTGATTGCTTTGAAATGTTTTTAATGCCTCTAGGCCAGCCACTTTCTTCCCTTAGTGTGAAAGAGGGAGAGATTTGCACATGTACTGTATCCACATGAGCACAAATTGAAGGTGAGTTCTTTGCCTGCTGTTAACATGGAGTTCCCGTTCTGATGGAAGTTTGGGAAAAGAGAAAGACTTTTCCAGTCCCTTTGTCATCATCAGGTCTGACTGTCTCATTTCTAGGCTTTGTGCTTGTCTTAGGACTGTGTTTTCAAGCTGGAAGTCAGAGGGCTGCTTTTAATGGAGAAACACATTGTTAGTCATTATGCTTAAAACTGTTATAGAATCTGTGCTTCCTGTTGAAAATATGTAAGGGTTCACAAATCAAGAAGGGTTGAAGACTCCGTTTCTAGGAAATCAGTGCTCAGCCAACAGAGCTGAGCAGCAAATGGCATGGTATTTTCTCTAAGTATTAATTTGGTTTCCTTGGTTTGTTTCTTTTCAGCTGGTGTGAAGTTCAGAGTCCTTGAGCAGCAGGATGGAAAACCTCTTCGACTCCTTATGCAGGTAAGTCACTAGTGCCTTCTGTGACATTTCCTGATTCAGGCTTCCCCGCAGACTGACCCCAAGGTCCTGCTCTCTCCTGTAGCAGTTCTGAAACTGGTCCTACTGAAAGGCCCCACTTAAAAAATTTTGACTGGGAAATGCTGAAACAAAGGAAGTATATTTCACATTGCAGTGACTGGCTGCTGCTTTCTCTTTAATACCCTGCTTGAGTCCTTGGTTTAAAGAAAATGTCCTGTATGGTGTGGAATGAAATGTGAAAGATATGATAAACATGGAGCTCTGTTAATTCTGGAATTAACACTTCACATCATTATCACCTTGCTTCCTGGCTCTATGTAGCTTCACTTAAATAATTGCTAAACACTGAGAGAAGAAAAAGAAAGGTGGCTAAACCATTCAGAATGAAAGACCAGTAATAGGTCTTCCCCTCCAGATGTGCTGAAAAGCCTTAGCTGCTCCCTGATGACAGCAGGATGAGTGTGTGGGCAAGACAAGAGAGGGAAGGGCCTCCTCTTATTCTCCTGAGTCGCTCTGGCAAGGTGTACAGGAAAAGCTTACCTGTGCTTTTGTAACCTCACATTTCCATGCTCTGTCATCAGAGATACTAAAGGAAATACTTTTCTGAAGAGAAATGATGTGATAGTAGCAGTGAAGTTCTCATTACGCTTTCAGGAGTGATTGTGAAGTTTCCATTTCCTGACTTTGCTGCCATATCACAGAGTCACTTTTCTTGCTCTTTGCGTCCTAGGGGGAGAGTCTGCAAGTAGCGTATAGAATTTATAAAAACCATTTGGACGCTGAGGGAGTGTGTGGGAAGGAACTAACTGCAGCTTCCCAACTCTTTTTGCTTTTGCCATCACCAGTCGAGTGCTATTTCAGCCGAGGTCAGATTAGCACGGAACCAGCACACCAGCTAGCAGCAATTCAAAAGGGAATCCCTTCAACAGATGTCTTCTAGGGCAAAACTAGCATTTCTTATGCATGCTGTCTTCCCAGTTCCTGTCTTTCAGCAGGGTAGTGGTGTAAGAACCAAAATCTGTCATTGTCCATGATCAGAAGACTCCATAAAAAGGAAACCAGACACCAAAGATGAGGCACAGGAGCTGCTGAGCAGAGAATTCGGCATCATTGTGTTTGTGAGATGAGGTAGATAGCTTCTCCAGAGGAAAAAGGTCACGACTTGGAGAGCAGAGGCAGTGAGTCATATGAATATGATGAATTTTCCTTGGACCACTGCAGAAGGATCCTTTTGCTATCTAGAATATAGCATGTCATCATATCAAGAGGTAGAAGTGCTTTAGTGGATGTCTCTCTTGGCCTTCTGTTCAAATAATAATGATCAGAGAGTCAGTAAAGGCACTTTTTTGCTCTCTCTGTGCTGTTAGAAATTAAATATGGGCTTGTGTCAGAAATCCTGCAGAATATACCACCTTCTGATAGGTCTTTTGAGAGAACAATCTAAAAAGCCTATTTTTAAGTGACATGCTAAAATTCTTATGGTACATGATGATGCTCCTTTCTATACATTTTTCAGTGGCTTTGTCCCTTCCCCGTATGGTAGCCCTCTGGAGCCAAACTTGATGGAAGTAAGGCTGTATGCAGGTAACTATGCCCAAAATAATTTAAGCTATAGGTGACTGATACATTCATAGCTGTCCTTTGGGGCACTGGTAATGGATTAGAAGTCAATATTGCTGGTTTTGAGCATTCACATTGAGCTTGTGGTTCAGCTGACTGATTATTTTTTATTTTTAAGATAGTGTCTCTGGAATGCAAAGTCCAGACACAGAGAAGTGCAGGGTGGGGGATGATATTTTCATTCCAAATGCTACTTCATTTTCTCCAGGAGGTCTTACATTGTTCAGTATTTTCATTAGTGTTTAAAATAATTTATTCTGGTGCACAAGAAGGAATATTTCTGGCAGTGTGGCTCAACTGAACTTATAGCCCAGTGAGAAAACATGATGAGTTTGATTCATCTGTATACCTTCTGCTAGTAGTGTCATCATTCACAGCAATTGCTTTGAAAAGTGTTAAGCAAAAGAGGAAGGGAAAAGGGAACATCTCCATTATGAAACAAAGGATGTATATTATATCAGAGTAGATTATAGCTTTGGACTACAGAAATTGCATAAAAGGAACACATATTGCCACTTCCCTAATAAACAGTTGCTTTTGTTTTGCTTGTTTGTTTCCATTTATAATAGAAGAGACAGATGCATATATTGCACTGGGCGTAAAACCATCTCTTGTTATTTCTCAGTAGGCAAGTGTTACTGCTCAGTATCACCACTCTGCTTAGGGATGATTTTCAACGAGAAGTGTTGTGTCCAAACCTTACAGCCCACATAGCTAATAGTCAAAGGAACATACACTGTGTATCTCTCTGGTATAGCAGCAGTTTCTATCCTCCGCCAGCATGTTTTCACTTAAAACATACTGGTTTGCCTACAGCTGAGGAAATATGCAGAAATAGTTACTTAGGTTTTACTGTTGTTTGTTTTGGGGGCAGGTTTCTTTGGTCTTTTTTAGTTTGTTTTTTTTTTTTTTTAGCTGACTGTCTGTGACCGCAGTGTGATGAGGTTGGTTATAGTTATGCAGAATGTCCCATAAATGCTGTGGTTGATCCTTGGCCTTTAGGCTGTAGAATGTGTTTGAAATATGAGCTGCATGAGTTTGGGTTAGACATACCTCAGGTGGTATGAGCTCCGCTCTTCCGTTTCGGGTACAAATACTCGCTTTGGTTGCATTCAGAACTAGCTTTCTGTGCATCTGTTTGGGACCCATTTAATATCTGCTAATGAGTCGGTGTCCCACAGCCGGATCATGCTGGGTCTGGCTGTGTTTTGGCTTCCCTCAGCCTGTGTGAGCTGCTGCCCAGGCCTTTTTCTTATACTTCATGGGGATGCTTCTGTGTATAGGCATTATCTCCTTCTGCTTCAACAGTGTTGTACTTTGAAACTGATTTGGCAAAGGTCTCCAGGTTTAATTCTAATGAACTGTTTGCTTAATCACCCTTTCCCAGAGCTCCATCTTTGTAGGCACTCTGAGTTCATCCTCCCCCTCTCCATGAGCACCAGAGAGCTGAAGCAAACTGGTGGTACAGGCAGGCTCCCAGAAAAGTGGTTGCTCCTCACTGGACAAAAGAAATATTCAGCTTTTGATGAAGTAGTGACTGTCTGTGTGGCTTTTGCTGTGTCTTTCCTTTTTGTGGCTGGATTTTCTACTGTGAATTATAGTCTCCTTTCACGCAGCTGCTTGGTTGGTTCCAGCATAGCTGGACTCTTGCTGGAGGAGGATGTCCTTCCATTTCTTGCCACTGTACAAGCTTCCTCTAGCTCTGTAAGTCTCCTCACCTTGGTATCTCTCATGGTCTGTTTTCTGAGATCCACCATTTCTATGTAATCTGTTTAGTCTGTTGGAGACTACTGCCATGCATCTTTCTCATGCATCAGATCTTGGCCAGACTGGATCAGTCCTCTGGACTTCACCTATCTCTCTACCCTGAAGTGCTTCACTGAAATGAGATTTTTCCAAGGTCTAATGTGCTTCTGTCACCCCTTTTCCAGCTACATGTCTGTCTGCCTCCCCCATCTTCCCAAAGGTCAGCACAGCAACTTTGAGATCATAATCAGAGCTTTCGTAGGCAGAGACTCCAGACGTGGTCATTCTTGACATGGTGATTGAAATCTAATTAAAAAAGATTAACTCAGCCAAGGAGACAATTTAAAATGGTAATGAGCAGCCCTGCGTGCCACGGTGTGGTATGCATCCTGTTCTGCTAGGAGATTCCACTGGGTGGGTATCAGGTGATACCAGGTTTAGCTTAAAGCACAGTTGTGGGCAGAGGGCTTAGCACATTAAAGCAGTAGGCCCGTAAAAGATGTGGCCTAACTGGCACGTTATAGAGGAGTTGTACCCCCAATGGAGTATTGCTGTCTGCGGTGGGAGGCCCCCATCTCTTCAGCCTCTGCAACCTCCAAACGCAACAAGGCAACAGTCCCACACCCTCGTGTAATGAGCATCACTCAGATCTTGCTGGTGCTTGTGTCTGCTTCTCTGCTTGGAAATGCTTCTAATAATACTCCTTGCCAAGCTTGATTTGTTAATGTTTTGGGATATTGTAGAAGACTAAACAGCTTTAGTTAGCCAAAGAGGGATTCTTGTGCTTATGAGTACCAATACTGATGTTTTAAGAAAGGCCAGTGCTAAGCAAAAGTTGGACTTGCCCTCCTCAGCTACCTGTGTTTCTTACTGCAACATTTTCATTGCTGCTATCCCTCTTTCTTCTCCTCATAGATCAACCCTCTATCCTATGGCAGTGTGGTACAGACATACAGGCTGCCAACCTACAGCTGTTACCCAAAGGATACCTGGACATCTCTCTGCAAGAAGCTGTTCCTTGGAGAGCTAATATATCCTTGGAAACACAAAGGAGAGAAGCAAGACTAAAGACAGCAAAAGAGCTTGAGAGACTTGGTCAGAAAAACATATTGAATCCTAATGCTTTTGGACCAAAGGCATCTCAGAGCCAGCAACTGCTAGATCCCTTTAATTAATTAGATTTTGGTAACATGGGAGGGGCTGCATTTTTAAAGGCAAGTATTTTTAAACATTATTTTTCAACTTCCCTCTTCCCGTACACTGTGTTTGTGTAATATGCTAATGATTATTTTTGAAGCAAAAGGTTAAACCCATCAGTGCCTCATGAAACCAGCATTTAGTGTGATCAAGGAAGTACCTCCTGAATGGTTTGATGATGTTCCTTCCATGTCAGCTCACAGGGCCATATTAAACAAGCCCTTTGGGTCATTCAAAGCCACAATGCTGAGGTGCATTCTGCCAAAGGGTATTTTGGACCTTTTATGCTTCAGCCTTCAAGCTGACTGATCAAAACCAACATGGAGGATCAGCTTGTAGAGCCATACACTGAAAACTGTACAGCAGGGTTATCTGGGTTCGTGGGATATTTATTCTTTTCCTCTTGGGTTGGCTTGGATTCACTTCCACTGCAGCACCAGGCAGTGCTAAGCATAGAAACAGCGGGGCTGGAGCCCCAGAAACACAGACTGCTGTATGTTTGTGCTTATATGATCTCATCTACATTTTTTCAACAGCAAATAGTGTTTTGGGGAGAGCTGAGCCCTGAGCTGACACCAGAACGGAAGAGCAGAGCACACAGCCTCAGACCCCAGACTGCTCAGATTTACGTGGCAACAAGCCATGGTAGCTGAGAGCTCAGGGCTCTGCCAAGGCTCAGGGCTTCTTCACTTAGTCGCAGTGTAAGGCAAACGCAGCTTTGCTGAGTCCAGCTCTGGCTGGTGTGTCTGCCAGAGGGCTGCAGCAGCCCAGCTTGTTACACAGCTCAACCAGCTCAGGGAAGCATGTACTGTGTCTCCCTGTTTCTCAGGGCCCAGGTGAGAGCCTCACCATGTAGTGCCTCATCTTTTGCAGTTTCTGATAGTCAAGGAAGTTATCTTGGATACGAGGCATTTAAAGCCACTTCTTTCCCTGAAACTATAGACCCATTTCTCTTGGGAGAGTTTTCCTGCTTTGGATACTGCCTCCACAGTGCAACAGTGCTTGGCTTTTCAGTGTCCCAGTCTGATGGTGTGCTCATTTTGATGTGAGCCTTCTATTCCCTCTCTTGGGGAAAGTGCCTCTGTGCACAAGAGTGTGATGTCCCACTGGGTACTTTGTAAATGTAGACATTTACATACAATCATTACCCAAAAGTACACTTTCTCCAGATCTGCTAGCTCCTCTTGCCCCAGCTGAAACAACGATATAGTATCGCTGTACCCTGCTGCCACTCTGCGTGCCTGAAGTGACTGCATTAACTGGCAGGTGAGAGCTGTGGATCCTTCTCTTTTCCTCTGTCTGTCCAAGGAAGCAAGGATAGAGGAAGAAGAGGAGGATGTGTTATGGCTGCAGCGCTCAGCTCTTCTCTGCAGGGCTGCCTGTGTATTCCAGTGGGAGCAGGTGGAGCCAAGGTGCCCTGGGCTTTAGTAGCCTTCAGTCAGCCCTTCCACTGGCAGGGTGTTTCCAACTCCAGCCCCATGTCTTATCCATGTACTTGAAGCTGCCACAGAAGAGAAGGGGTTATGGACCCGCTGCTTTAAGACATCCCTGGCCAGATATATTTGGTTTGTCTGGAGCTGCTCAAAGCCTCTCATGGTGCAACCACTGCCTCTTCAGTCATAGCTTGATCAGGAGAAAATGAAGCTCTGTAGGCAGGCACTTGGTCCAGACATTCCTTAGCAGGCAGACACAGGAGCTGCCAAGGTTTTACAATTTTCTTAAGGACTTCGTGAAGGGAGGCAGTATTACATAGGCACTGCTACCCAAAGAGGATGTCCTGTTACCTTGATCCAGGGGAAAAGGGCACATCATTGCAGAAAGGCAGCGTGGCAAAGCCCTCCCACCACTGTCTGCCACTGCAGGCTCTGGGTGGGACATCGCTGGCTGCAGAAACTGGAGAAACCTTTGTTCTTCTTTAACAATCACTGCTTAAAACTCATGTACAAATACAGTAACTTCTTCTCTTGCAATATCAATGCCCAGGTATTTCTCTCCATGTGTGACTAACTCCAGGTTGTGATCCATGTAGTGGATGAATGGTCTGAGTAATGTTTCTCACTTCAGCTTAAGTCAGAGATATGGAGACCCATCCTTACCTGGCACTCAGCAGAGCAGATTTACGCTTTACCTCCCTCTCATGTTTCCACTGGAGCTACTAAATTATATTCCCTCTGCTTCCTCCCACGACTGCATAGTTTGGTATACTAACTGCTGTGAGAAACTTTATTATTTCTGGTCTTGTGAAAATAATGTTCCTTATATCCTAGCTTTTGAAATCTTTCCATGAGACCAGACAGCTCACAACAGTCCTAATTGTGGCTGTCCTTTGGGATCAAGTGACCTGAAAGCCCCAGAGACAGGACAGAGACATGAAAACCAGTGAATGTGTCCTTCCTATTGGGAACCTGCCAAAGATATTAGATGTTCCAGTGTTGGAACGTCTGTTTACCAAAGGCTAATACTGACTCCAGGGCTGGTGAAATATCAAACTGAGAAAAAGCTCTTCCTCCAACCCAAGAGCCTGAATCTTCTTTGAATACAGAGGACCTTGAGTAGCACAGCTGAGAAATGACAGCCCCTTGTGGGTGCAGTTCTCCTGTGTCACACACAACTGGTGCCTGAGGTTTCTTACTGTTTCTCATACTCGTCATTCTCCTTGTCCCTGATGGTATCTGAGCCTGTGAGTTTCTTCTGCTGGATATTTGCCATGTCTCTCCTCTTCCTTTCCAGTCACTGCTGTGAAATAGTCTTTCCCCACCCTTTTCCGATTCTGCGCAGAGACATTACAACAACTTAGCAGACATCCTGCTCAGGAACATTTGACCTTATGTCATCTTTCTAATTAGAAGTTGGGATCAGCATCATCTTCCACAGCAGCACAGGCAGGCCTAGCACTGGCATTTCCTCAGGGAAGAGACTGCTGGTAAGTTTGTGGCTCTAATTTATCCTCAGATCCATATTATCCATATCAGTCCTTGGATGAGAAGTAGTTAAAAGATATCAAATCTTCTCTGATTCCTACCACACAACCCTTATAGCAGGCAACAAGCAGTCTTTGCCAACCATCATTCAAAGACTGTTATCTTGCAGACTTCTTTTAATACTACATTTCCTTATTATTATTTCTTCCACCTTATGGTTCCCAGTGCTGGCACAACACTCGATGTGCCTCTTTACATAGGCATGTTTTCTGTGAAGGAAAACATGATTCACAGCATACAAAGCTCCATCCTAGATAGAAATTCTGCCTTTGAGAAATACTTTCCTTTCCTAACCAGAATAGCATGTGACGATGCTGAAAGAAAATCTCAGTAATTACTGCACTGAAGGCCCTGGTTATGGTTTTGGGAGTTTTCTCCGATCCTGCAGCTGGACTGTGCCTTTTTCTGCTGGCACGTGTGAATATACCATCAGGCCCACTGAAAGAGTGTTGCACATGTGTACAATCCATATGTTGACTTACACTCCCAGGAGTGTAAACAGACTTGCTCAGTGCTCACGGCAGTACGGTTTCTGCGGAGAGGAGTGCTGACAGAGCCATGGGGATGCCAGCAGGGCTGCTGTCAGCAGGTCCACGCGTAGCTGAGACCAGAGGGGCTCTGCATCTACCAGTTGCAGGTGCTTGTGTTTGAGAGTTTAGGGATGGAGATCTTTGTTCTGCTGACAGGTGTGGATTTTTTGGTTAATTAAACCTTATAATCAGAACCTAAATGGATTTTGATTACACTAGAATAAAGAGCTCAGGAGGAAAATCAAGCTTTTCCAACTCTTATTTATCTTGCCACCTGTGTGGCTGCCTCAGTACTGGCTGCCACCACCACAGGGACTGTGCAGGGTGGCTGCTGCAGGCTCGGCTCAGCTTGGCTGAGCAGGTGCCTCATCCCAGTCCTGAGGCCTGGCCTCTGCTCTCCACACACAGAAGGTGTTTCACCACTCCTCCAGCTGAGAGTGTTCTATTAAGGCCAGACCATGAAACCCTTGCAAGGATGAGCACTGGATCTGGCAGATCCTGCCTCAGGCCTGGGAGGCAGTTGAGGTGATGTTCCTCCAGCTTGCTTTTTTCCTATGATTCAGTGAGGGGCTCCTTGTTTTCTGTGAGCCTGCCGATGCGATGTGTTGCTGTTCAGTGTGAGGGGCAGGGTGGAGGGGACAAGCCTCAGCAGCACTTACACTGCAGCACTTATACTATGCAGTCTGAGCAGGAGCACAGGCTGTATCTGGGAATGATGGATGCCTTGTGGCCACTCCTCACATCAGAGCCATTATACCCTTGAATTCAGCCTTGTTCCCTTCCCTTCCTTTTTCCTTCTCTTTTTTATTCCTCTTCCTCAGCAGTTTGCACCCAGCTAGCAGCATGCAGCCCATCTGCCTTCTGCAGCGTGGACTGTCCAGGCAGGCCCAGAGCACCACTGGTTGCTGGTGGTGTGAGGCCATGCAGAGCCGGGGTGTGACCACAGCTGGAGCACTGTTGCCGGCAGAGACCTGCAGGGCTGTTCCTCAGCAGTCAGCAGACTGAGACGGACCTGTGTCCTGTGGGAGCATGGTGTCCTGTGGGAGCATGGCGGTGAAGCGGTGTTGCTCCAGGCCAGCTGAGTGTCAAGCAGCTGGATGCATGGCTGTGACAACGTCCCCATGCTGCAGCAAGCTTCTGCCAGGATCACCCCCTACATCTGCCTCATGCTGAGACTGCTGCTTCCTGCAGCATCCTTCCATCAGCTCCTGAAACAACCCCACTGCCTTCTCCATGCTGCTCCTCTCGTAATGATTCTCGTTGCTCTGGGCTCTAGTTTGGTTTCCACCACCCACCAAGGAGGTGAGAAATCACTTGAATGAGCCGTAAACCAGGGCTCTGGGGTTGGCCCTGGAGGAGTGGCAGGACTGAGAACCAGAGGCTAAGAAAAGAGAAACAAAATCAAGATTCGTGCCCATCATCCTCTTCTTGCCAACTCCCTGCCACTTTGGATACAATGGACTGGTGGACAGAAATGACAGGAATGGCTTTTCTCCCCTCCCGGGGAACGCGGGCACACACAAATCTCCCCTCTCCACTTCCCCTGCTCCACCATCAGGGCGAGAGTTTTTCTGCAGGCCTTACCCTCCACAGGCTTTACCCTCTGAGCTCTCCCCCTGCTCCCCAGGGAATGCCATCGACGGCGGCTGGGGGCAGCAGCAGCTCCAGATAGAGTCAGCAGGACGTCTGCTATTTCATTTTGCTTTTATCTGCTATTTCATTTTGCTTTTGCAGAGGCTGGATGAGCTCGGCTTTTTGGGAGGCAGGGGTGGGGAGACAGAGGGGGGCTGTGTTTGGCCCCTGCCATGCAGACAAACCAAACTGAGCAGTGCTGAGCATGAGGACACCCTCTCCCCATGGGGATACAAACCCCTCATCGAAACAAGCCCCCCCAAAGGCATTTACACTGCTTGGATCCAAGGCAGGAAATGAACTCAGGCCCCAGGAGAGGAGAGGGAGCCAGGCTGAGACCAGGCAGGGGGCAGCCCCTTACTCCAGAGCTCTGCCATCTCCCCTCCCGCTATGAGCATGGAGGGAAGAGCTCTACCATCTGCCTTCCCCAGGCTGGGCAGGGTCAGAGCATCATCCTCAGTATGAACTCGCTGGAGCACAGAGGGGTCCCTTGTCCCCAGACAGCAGGGCAGAGGAGTCCTGCTGCCCCATGGGGTGCTCAGATGTGGCATCTCAGTGATGAGAGCTTGTGTCTCAGCTGGCTGAGGACTGGTGCATTCATCACCGCCTGGTCCCCAGCACTGCACATTCCCAGTCCGTCACCTCTGAGGGTGGAAAATCCCCTTGGCTGCCCAGCCAGTGTGGTGGAGCTGCTTGGGCTTTGCCAGCTGCCATTTACCTGGTTTTGGTCCTCCCCACTTCAGCCCATTTTACAGATTCCCCTTTGCCAGCCCCACTTTTGGGAGATTTTTGGCAGAGGAGTCAGTGATGGGGGTTATCCACACACCCGTGGCCGCAGCTGTCCTGGCCCTTTGCTTGATGGCAGAGCAGTTCCCAAGGGAGGAAGGTGAATCATCCGTGCAGTAAAAGACAGGTTTGGGCAGCAATTAATATTTTATAAAAGCAAGAAGTCTTGCTGCTGCTGCAACTTGAGGAGCGTGGGGCAGGGAGCAGAGCAAGAGGAGGAGGAGGAGTGGAGGCTGGAGGAAAGCAGAGCAGAGGAGCTGACTCACTAGCCCAAGGGAGGGCTGCCATGCTTCCATGCCACTGGGCAAGGCAAGACCCCTGCTCTTGCGCTGACGAGCTGCAGCACCAGTTGCACAAACGCTGGGGGGGTCTCAGGCTCATAGAAATGGGGGAGACAGAAGGGCAGGGGATCAGGGGGGCAAGGCAGGAGGAGCAGGGGGACCCAGGGCACTGGGGCTGCACTGGTGTATCTGTAGCAGGGAAGGATGAGATGGATGCTGGTGACCTCCCAGCACGTGGCAATCGGGAAGGGATTCAGAGCTGGGACAGGAGCAGAGGAGGCAGGGTGGAGGGAGGTGGGACCATGCCCAGGCCTGGGGGCTGCAGTCTGAAAGCTGGAAGAGGAACAAAGGTCACGAGTGCGGGAGCGTGGTGGGGCTGGGTGATGCGTGCCATCCTGTCCCCCTATCACCACTTTCACCCTGTGCTGGCCCGTCGCGATGGAGCTGAACCATTTGTCGGCATCTGTGAGGTCCCTGAACATCCCGGGTGCATCCCTGCCCTGGGACCTGCCATGCCACCGATTTGCATTTACAGCAAAAAGCTGTTTTCTGCAGAGCAGAGGCTCGTGCCCCAGCAGTGTCTTGGTGGGACACAACCATCTTCAGTCCTCCTGTGGGACCTCCTCTGCCCCAGGGGAGCCACATCCAGGGTGGTTTGTCAGCGAGGCCAAGGCGAAGAGCATCCCCCCCCTCCACCCATCCCGTCCCCCTCTCCATCCACTAGTGACACCAGCCTGGGTGAGGTGGGGTCCGTGGACCCCTCCCTGGAGCTAAACCCCTTGGGCAGGGCAGGGGGAGCGGGGTGCCCGTGTGCAGGCGTGGGCACACCTGAAGGTGGGAAGAGGCTCCTGGCACCCTGTAACGCCTCAGACCTGTCCGGAGCTCTCCGGCACTCGCAGCCGCTGGGAAGGAGCCGGAGGAGCCGCAGCATCCCTGCGTGCTGATGAGCATCCCCGGCGCTCGCTGGGCTGGGGCCCCTCGTTCCTGGGAGGACACATATCGTTTTAAATGGGGCTAATTGGAGGCAGACAGGTTGGGAACCTAATTAATGAGCTGCTTGGCTCTAAAAAGATTAGGCAGGATGCTTTGTTCAGCACAGGATTTGTCAGCGATGCCGGCAGGGAGGGCACCGGCACGTTCCCACGGGGCTCCTGCGGGATCGGGCCGGGGAGTGGCGCCTCGTGGAGCCGGGACTCCCGGAGGGCAGTGCCAGGCCGATGCCGAGGGTGGCCGGTCCCGGGG